GGGGGTGGGTGGGATCAAAACAATTTAGCTTCAGGGGTTGAGAGAGAAGCTCTAGGATCTCTCCTGGGACCACTACATGTCCATCTCTCTTCACCCCATAAGCATCCAATTCTCAGATACTCAAAAGGAATCATACATGCCCATCGTCTATGAAAGCCAATGGCTCTCTCTCTCCCCCTTTCTAGTTTCCAAAGATGGACATAATGGGATGGTGTGTTTGAGAAACACTCTCAGCATTCAAGGATAAGAACCAAAAAAAGTTTCTAATTAATTAGATACCTGAGTCTCTGAGGTTCCTGCCTTAGGAACTCCAGTGATTTTTCTTCTTATAGAGGGACACTTATGAGGAACTCCAGGACCTAATGGGACTTTATTTTCCAAGATTCTTCAAAACAAGCCAAGCAGGCATCTGCCTGTCCTGTTCACACAAGACTTACTACTGGCTCTGGAAAGCAGTTGGCCCCTGTTTGCTGGGCTTACCTGTGGCCATTGTGACCTCACTCTACAGGTGTTGCCTGGATCTGAGGTGATGAGGTAAGGAAGGGCTGGGGAGCATGGGAGGTTAGTGCCATGCCTGGCTGCATGAGGAGCCACCCTGCCCTGGGCAGTGACTCTCCTCTGGGTCTGTGTCTAAGGGGGGGTCTCTGTATGCCTACCACATTCTTAGCTGAGAGTCACTGCTGGGATGAGAGGTATTCTGATGGGCATCTGCTATGCATGTGGACAGTTAAAAGGCCAAGATGCTTGTCCCATCCCTTAGTCTCTGAGGCACAGCCCAAATGTCATCTCCTCACCAAAGCATTCATCCCAGGTGTGATTAGTCACTTCTTCTGTGCAGCATCTCATACAATATTCATTGTAAAAGTACTTTCTTCTTAAAGCCCACAGTAATTTCCCTCCCTCAGACCAAGAGCCCCACCTCCATGGCTCACCCCCTGCCGCCCTACTATCAGCATAGCATCAGTGTGGGGATTGCAGCCAATAAACACTTGCTGAGTGGTCACAGGACACCAGCAGGCAGCTCTGGGTCAAGACACCAGCAGGCAGCTGTGGGTAATGGCAGGGTAAGAAGGTTTCAGAGAGAAGGGAGGGGGCAATTAAATTCTCAGAGCCTGTTTAGCAGTCGAGGAATAGAAGGATGAGATTCTGATCCTGGTAGTGAGGAAAGGGGAAGGTTGGGAACATCTTCAGAACATGGACTCAGGTTCTCATGGACAAAACTTGCCTCCTCTGAAAACAAATTAAATAAAAAAAAAAGGAAACTTATCGCCATTGAGTGGATTCCAACTCATAGTTACCCCCACTGGGTTTCTGAGGCAGTAAATACTTAGGGAAGTACAGCACCCCATCTTCCTTCCATGGCTGATGGATTTGAACCACCAACCTTGTGGTTAGCAGTCAAATGCCTTAGGCACTTCACCACCAGAGCTCCTTGTAGTATCCTTATAGCATTATCCTCCTCTAATAGTATCTGCAATTAAGGGCTGACATATGGATCTCATATAACCACAAAATAGTGAAGTCTGCACTTCATGTACTATAAAGATTACAAAAACCAAACCAAATCCAATTGCTGTCGATTCTGACTCACAACAACCCTATAGCACACAGTGGAACTGCTCCATAGAGTTTCATAGACTGTAATCTTTATAGAACCAGACTTTCACAGCTTTCTACCATGGAGTCACTGGTGGGTTCAAACCTCCCATCTTTTAGTTAGCAGCTTAACTACTGTGCCACCAGGACTCCTTACTATGAAGATTATAGATAGGTAATTGGGAGGGGGTAGAGATGGAAATAAGGTAGGGAAAGAGAGAAAGTGAGAGATAAACTCTTTTCCAGGGATTCTTGGAAGGGTAGCCACTCACCAGTTCCTTTCTGAGCCAGGTTATAGCTTCATCAATACTTTCAAAGCCTTCCAGCTTGCGGGTGGCAAGGGGTCCCTGGCCCTGACTGGCTCTCCGGTTAGATGGAGGATGCTGCCTGGGCTCCCTCTGGAGAAGTGAAGACTCCTCCTCACACTGCCTCTGCTCCCAGTTGGCCTCCTGCTGGGCATCTTGCTTGGGGAAGGTCCATGTCTGCTCCTCCAGCTTGGCCTGCCACTCCAGGTAGGAGGGCCTGCGTGTCTCAAGCCTCAGTTTCTCAGTCAGAGCCTTAAGGTTCCGGAGGTGGTCATCTGGAGGCAGGGCTTCTCCTGCTGGCACTTCCTCTCCACCTACTTCTTCTATTTGGATCTGGGACACAGCCATTCTATCTTCTGCCTATGCAGCCAGACATGGGAGGTGGTAGAGGGCAGCGTGGAACTCTTGGTGGTTGGCAAGGTCGGGTCCTGCTCTGGAATGACCTCATTAAGCTGAGGCCAAGTCTCCTGAGGGCACTGCTGAGATGTAAGCAGGTCTCAGAGGTTGGGAAGCTCCCACACTCAGAGAGAGACTGTAGACAGGGTTCAGAGAGTGTTTTGTGGTGCCCTTTCAAAGGCCACTGCACAGCTTGTGCGTTTAAGACACTTGGAGTCCTGTGGGTTCCATACTTTGCATAGAGGCAGGAACAGACAAGTGTGAGCAGGAATCTTTGGGGGTAGACTTTGCCAAGAGGAGCTATCAATCCTTGGTGTGGAGGCAGATCAGAGGCTGGCCCAGGAAGAGGCCCCCGGAGCTCCCTTCCCACGGAGAAAGGCAGGTGGTGAGGAACTGCTGGCTGGTGTGGAGATTCTGCCCAAGTCCCTGGCCCTGGAGGAAGGATGACAATGATGTTAGTACTAATCTTTCACCACACATGATGTCTATTGTCCAACTGATGCTCCTCAGCCACAGATCCATTCCAGGTCCATTCCACAGGAGGGGAAACTGAGGCTCAGAGATGCTAAGGGACAGTGGCAGAACCTAGGGCTTCTAATAGAAATGGGGTAATTTGAAAGCCCCAACTTGATGCAAAGAAGCCCCAGGTTCATAATAAATTAGTATCTGTGTAGTGTTTTACCATTTATAAAATACTTTCAGCTTTGTGATTTCACTTAATCCTCATAGCAAGTGTAGTTAGCTCTCTTCAATTCCCACTTTATACAAAGAGCTGTCTCTGAGAGTTACAGGACACATCTGACAGCTCCCAGCAAGTAGCGTGGGGATCAGCTCAGGTCTCTGATTCTGAGGCCACAAATCCCTTCTCTGTGCAGCAACCGCTGACTCTGGTCTCTCATCATCCCCACCCACCACAGCTCCCCTCCTCAGTCCTGGCTGTTAAAGGCTCATCTTACCCCATCTTCACTTTCTTCCTCTAAGAACAACACCTTACCTCATTTCTTCAGAGGAGAAAGCAAATAAACCTTCCAGAGCTGAAGGGAAGGAGTTGACTGTCTTTAAGTTTGATCATTAAAGTGAATGAGGCTCATGACTCACCATTCTAGAAAGATGGTGCCCAAGTATACCCAAACTACCCACACAGCAGCAGTATCCTGGCAAGGGCCAATTTGATTTGGCCTCCCCACCTCTGGTGAGAAGGTATAAACCAAAATTCCTACTCCATAATGTCAGGGCACATAGAAGACACATAACCTAATAAAGTTAGAATGGGACATCAAGCTCCCAGTCCCCATGTTCTCTCTCCTGTGTGCCTCTATGTCCACCGAAGACCAAGCAAGTGGAGATGGGTTTAAATTAAGAGTGGAAGACATTTGACCTAGACCAAGTATAGAAGTTCTTGACTTTCAGAGTGATTTAAAAAATCTGTGCTGATGAAATGCAGCTGTCAAAGAATGAATGGATATGGACTGATGTCCAAGAGAAAGTTTAAATGAAAAAAACAAGGTGTTTGGCAGCCTGGAGAGTAATAAAGGAGGATCAAAGAAGAGAGATTTTTATTGACTTGGCGATGCCTAAAAAAAAAAAATCTCTTCCAGAATAAAATAGAAACTAATAGATGTGATTGCTTGTTTGAGGTGATGGGAACTGGGCAGATGGGGGACAGACGTAAGAGGAGTAAAGAACCCAGAAAGGAGCAGCAAAAACAAAACCCAGGCTAGGCCACCAAGGAAGATTGTGGGATCCTCTCCAACCTGTGCATAGAGATATACAAGAGGAGCTGGGCATGCTTTCTCTTGCTCTCTCCTTAGAACCTGCTCTGAGCATCCCAGGGAGTGAGGAGGAGCATTCCACCCCAAGTGACAGCAGACAGACCTAGTTCTTAACTCTGGCTGCCCAGGAGAATCCCAAGGAGCTTTTCAAAACACGTTGAAGTCCAGGCTTCACCTTCTCAGGTTCTGATTCAGTTGTTCTTGGGGGGTGGGACTCAGGTATCAACATATATTTAAAGTTGCCCACGTGATTCTAACATGTACCTGGGGTTTAGACCCAATGGTCTGGAGAGAAAAAGATTGGACTTGGGATCAGATGACCTAGCTTTAGGCTCTGTCAGGCTCCCTAAGCCTTAGTTTCTTCATCTGTAAAACGGGAGTGATAATACCAGTCGCCAAGGCTCTCAGAGACCGACAGAACCGAGGTTTGTACACACACTCTCTGTAAATACAGCATTTAGCTCTGCAAACATGGGGACTTCTACTGGGGTCTTTTTGTGCAGTCTCGCAGTCACACAGGCCTCTTTAGAACATCTCCAAATCTACAGACTTATTTGCAGCTTTCTAGGGCCCCTCCCTGGCGCCGTCTGCCTCTTTGCTGTGGTGCCAGATTCGGATTTGAATATGGCTGGGGGCGGCTTTTACCCCACAGGGCTTCCTTCCCACTGACAGGGGAGCTACAATTATTTCAGTGAAGCTTTTGGGAGAGGATCCAATTTCAGACAAACCGATGAGCAATGAGAGGAGCAAAACCCTTTCTACAGTCATTCCATGAACAGATAAATGAATAGCAAGTTGAATTCTCCCCTTTCTCTACCCCAATGCACACTCAGACTGAGGACGGGAGGGAATGTTGTGCCCAGAGTCAGAACTGTTAGGTGTTTGAGGTGGGAAACAGCTATAACACTGAATTTATGTAGCTGAGTCTGTAAGGGGAGTTTATTTTCATTGTTGTTGTTAGCTGCCATTGAGTTGGCCCCCTCGTGGCAACCCCATGTGCTACAGAGCTGAACTGCTCTACAGGGTTTTCTTGGCTATAATCTTTCCTGGAGAAGTTCGCCAGTCCTTTCTTGCAATGTACCACTGAGTGGGTTCAGATCACCAACCTTTAGTTTAGCAGGCAATCACAAGACTCTTGCATCATGGTTTCTAAATCAATTAGGGTGTGCCTGTGAAGTCAATGTCAAGACTATTTTGAGGCATTAACAGCAGGGCTAGTGAGCTGTGATTCAATTAATTATGATCCTTTGATCTGCTGAGCTTTGTGGAGTGTACAGAGCACTTGTGTGCACCTTGTCTCACTTGCATCTCCTGGTAGCCCTGTGGAAGCAGCAGGATTACCCATTTCACAAATGAGGACACCAAGGCCAAGAGAAGTTAAGTGATGCAGCCACAGTGAGACAGGTGGCAGCAGTGAGACTTTCTCACAGAGTACTCTGACTCCAGGTCTGCTGCCTTCTACTATAGAAGAACATGGGCCTTGGAGCCAGACATCTGAGAAACAGGGTCTAAATCCTGGTCCTACTGCCAACCTGTTCTATGATTTTGAGAAGGTCATTTAATAAACATTCTGTGAGTCGGCTTCTCAGAGAAAGTGGGGATAAACAGCATCAGCTACATAATTTGCAGGGGCCCAGTGCAAAATGAAGGAGCCATGGTGGTACAATGGTTAAGAGCTTGGCTGCTAAACAAAAGGTTGGAAGTTCAAACCTACCCAGTGTCTCCTTGGGAGAAAAAACCTGGCAATCTGCTTCTGTAAAGATTATAGCCTTGGAAACACTATGGTGCAGTTCTATTCTATCATATAGGGTCATTGTGAATCAGAATTGACTTGACGGCACACAACAACAGCACAGACAAAATTAAAGTGTGAGACCTCTTGCTAAAACATTAACAGCAGTGACAGCAGAGCCTTAAGCCTTAAGCTAGCATGGGGCTCTTACAGACACCTTTGTTGCTGTAGGAGTCCCAGGCCATGAAGCTGGCCTGAGGATAATATCAACTTCATGGGTCATTGTAAAAATTAAACCAGGTGGCAAATACAGAACACTTAGCATGAAGCCTGGTATACAGTTAGCCCTGGAAAAAGTTACATCTTAAAAAATATTATTAAGGTTATGATTGCTATTAGTCATAATTGCACCACCAAACCAAGCAACCCATTTTCATTCAACAGAGCAGTAATCCTGTTGGTTCTTGATCTGCCAGGCAGCCTGGACCAATCTCTGTACCCTTAAATCCTTCTCTGGAAGCCACCTGAGACTAAGTCAGCTCATCCCAAATTTTTAGATCTAAAAACTACAATTTCATCATGCCATGAACAGCAGGTCTGCCATAGAAAGGAGGAAAAAGAATGGTACAACAGGAAAAATATAAAAGTCACTCTATACCCCACTCCTTTGTCTCCCCGTTCTTATGTTTAACACCACAAGACATAGCTCGGGACCACAGAGGCTAAGCCAGGTTTAATAATGTATTATCTATAGGATGAGACCAAGGGAGAAGCACCAGGCCAGGAACTACCACTGCTGACACACTGTGCACTGCAACCAGCCCACTCCTCCCCTTGCCTCAGTTTCCTCATCTGTGCAAGGACGATCTCAATCCCCATGTCCTCCTAAGAGTGTTGTGAGAGTCAAATGAAATCTTGTTATGTAGAAGCTCTCTGGAAACTGTAAAGACCTGTTCCTGCCTGATGACTATTACTATTTGAAGGTGTATGTGGGGTATGGAGAAGATGTGAGTTAGAGACTGGCCATTTTAGAATGCCTGGTCCCTCAAGCAGTAAGGAACCAGCCTTCGATTGCCTCCTAATGCACCCAGCACACCCAGAGAGTTTAATGAACACTCTCTTTTCTCCTGGTAACCAGACAATGCCCCAGAATGCTGGGTGCTGCAATGCCTGAGGACCAGAGCTAGTGGGGTTTCTTTGCTTCACTCCAGCTGGGCACAGGACCTGAGCCGAATGTCACCTGCACAGGTCACTCTAGGAGTAACAGGAGAAAGGAGAGCTGGCAGAGAGGTGGGTGTGTAGGGGAATGGGGGTTAGAGCCAGCACTGGATTGTTTCCTTAATTGCAAGAGCAGCAGAGGCCTCCTCCTTCCTCTTGACAGACCAGGAATTTCTGGGGCCCAGGGCCTGAAGAAAGAGCCTGCAAACAGGTTTTCTTTATATCTAACC